AAAAAAAAAAAAGAAAAAAAAATGATTCCAGTGCTACATCTTATCCCTTTTTCCTTTTTGCCCTCCCAATTTTTCTGATAGGATAGATCTTTCATTTTTCTTTTCTAGCGACCCTCCATGACACATCTTTGACTTTAAGGTTATGGTGGGATGGCTTTGCTGAGAAAAAAAATAATTTTTAGGCTCTCAAGACAATTCTTTGAGTCACAGCATTTTCCACAAGCTGTGAAATTGTCCTATTCCCAGATTCCCATAGGTATGGTGCCCGGTTTTGATCATCAAGGTTAGAAAGGGGTAGATTTGTGTTAACTTGGCATTTCTAGAATCAACCACAAGACTGTATTTACCGTGTTTCCCCCAAAATAAGACCTACTCACAAAATAAGCCCTAGCAGGATTTCTATGCATTTGTTAAATATAAGCCCTACCCCGATAATAAGACCTAGTGATGGGCATGGCTATGTAGCATATCTGCATGCATTTGGCACGGACAGGAAGACATCCCCTGAAAATAAGCCCTACTGTGTCTTCTTAAGAAAAAATAAATATAAGACAGTGTCTCATTTGGGGGGAAACATGGTAGCAAAGTTTGTCTGTTAGAATATTTTCACCTAGGTATGCTGAGTTTCCTAGGATATCACAGAGTTTCTATAGAAATTCAAATGGGAACTTTCACAGCCTCACAAGCAGTAGAGACCAAGGGCTTTGTCACCCCTGTTGTATTTGTCTTGGCCAGCTTCCGCATTCCGTGTGTACTGATGTGTGTCTTCCCGGGACCCGGAAGGGCTTTCGGCAGGGGGAACCAGTATGTTGCTTTGACTGCATCACGTGTGCTGATGGACATGTGTCACAGAAACCAGGTATGGATAGTTATGGTTTTTTTAAAATGATATTTAAATGCAATTAAACAAGCGCTGGCAAAGAGGGCCTCAGGCACCTTCTTTAAAAACAGGTGTGAATATCTCTTAACAAAAGTCATTATAATCCATCAAATTACTGGATGTTCTGTGAAGTGCGAAAAAAATCCATAACATTGTGTTTCAGTTAGAAAGCTACATACAGTTGGGAAAATGTACCCTTGAAGCTAATAGAGGAAAATACAAAGTAAAATATATGAAATGTGAAATATGAATAATTGGATTCGTGAGAAAGCATTTAAAAATTATACCAGTTTCTGAAATAAAGTTAACATTAGTTATGCCTAGAATTGAAAAAAAAGGTGACTTGCAGTTCTCTGTTTTACCAAATCATCTCTAATTTGGAACTATAAGATCTGGAATTCCAACCCCACCAACCATTGGCTTAAGGTCATAAGTAACTCTGAATTTGTAGGACAGATGAGTTCTCTAACCCCTACTCCACAAATCTTCACAATGGCCTGTTAAATTGCGGCTCTCTATGCTGAGAATTTTAGTTGGGCCCAATGTGCTTAGTTTTGTGAAGCATATTGGAACAGGCTTATTTTTATTTCTACCTTCTGTTGAAGATACAAACTGTATCTGTGTTTTGTCAAATGGCCCTCAATAGCAATGCACTTAAAAAAGAAGAGAATTTAAAAAATGTTAGCATTTTCCCAACATGGAAAATAAGCACCAGGGAACCGGAACAACTCCCTGGGCCCCGAGTGGCCTGGTCTCTGTGTAGAGTTACATTCAGAGAAGACCAAGCCAGCGGTCAGAAGTGATTGAAAGGGAATTGTAATCTTTATCTGCAACTTGTAAAGAGCATTAACGAGATACATTTCATAATCTTCTACCAAATAGTTTTTTCTTATGTTCCAATATTCTCTCTTAGAGTTGCATCCAGCTAAATGCCCCCTACGTTCTCAGCCCCAGCTAACATGCTGGTTGTTTTTATTTCCCTTGTTATCTGCCATTTTTCTCTACCTGTTCCTCAAATCTCCATGTGGAGGGTGAGGAGGAGAAAAGCTGAGTGGGCCAAGGCAAAATTCTCTTCCAAAGACTGAGCACACTTGCATTTTAACCAACCTCAGCCCCATCAGAATTCTCTTGATTGTTTCGCCTCACTAGATTTAATTGTCTCATATTTTTTTTTCTCATTCATAAATTGTTCTTAAGTTCAGGAGGATCCTTACCTCTTTTCTCCAGTAAATTACTGAAGTCAAAAGAAAGAAGCATGTTCCAAGGAAAGGCCAATGCAGAAAAGTCTGAGGCTGAGAAGGGAGACTGATTTCCAAAATTTAAAATAATTCTCAATCTTCAATTATCGTTGGCACACCCAAGGCCATTTTATATTCCTTTGAGATGTGAGATATATTCTATGCAAAGGGATTTTCTACGACTGCTCTGGGGTATGGTAGAAAGGGACAATTGGATTTCCTTGTAATCAATTCCTGTTCTTTTTCACTAGGTCAAAGAGAGTGTCAACGATGTGGTGAAGACTACTGGTCCAATACAACAAGGAACGAGTGTGTGCTGAAAGAGGTGGAATTCCTCGCTTACAACGAGCCCCTGGGATTCACACTGGTCATTCTGTCCGTCTTTGGGGCGCTTGCGGTCTTGGCAGTGATGGTTGTGTACGTGATATACAGGCACACTCCCCTGGTGAACGCTAACGACTGGGAGCTGAGCCTTCTCATTCAGGCGTCTCTGATCGTCATACTGCTGTCATCCATGCTTTTCATTGGCAAGCCACACACCTGGACCTGCATGGCCCGCCACATCACTCTGGCTCTGGGCTTTTCTCTTTGCCTGTCCAGCATTCTTGGGAAGACCATTTCACTGTTTTTAGCCTACAGAATTTCCAAATCCAAAACCCAACTCACATCCATACACCCCTTGTCTCGGAAAATCATCGTGCTAATCTCTGTTCTAGTCGAGGCTGGCGTGTGCACAGCCTATTTGGTGTTGGAGCCCCCAAGAGTATACAAGAACATGGAATCTCAAAATGTAAAGATAATTCTGGAATGTAAGGAAGGGTCCATGGAGTTTTTGTGCTCCATCTTTGGGATTGACGCCTTCCTATCCTTGCTATGCTTTCTTACAACCTTTGTGGCTCGCCAGTTGCCAGATAATTACTATGAAGGGAAATGCATCACCTTTGGGCTGCTGGTCTTTTTCATCATCTGGGTCTCTTTCGTCCCGGCCTACTTGAGCACCAAGGGCAAGTTCAAGGTGGCTGTGGAAATATTTGCAATCTTGGCATCTAGCTATGGTCTGTTGGGTTGTATATTTGCTCCCAAGTGCTTCATTATTTTGCTGAGGCCCAAGAGGAACACTGATGAAATTGTTGGTGGAAGAATCTCCGTGACAGATAAGAGTATGCAACTGACTTCAGCTTCTGTGAGCAGTGAGATTAACAACACCATGGTATCAACTGTTCTGGAGGATTAGAGTTGGGAGTTAGCAGGTGTCCTAACTGCACTGTTGCAGTGGCAAAAGGGTTTGACATTCCCTTTCAGGTTCCTCCCGCAGCAGCTGCCCGACACTTTCCTGTAACTGAAGACCCGGATTCTGGTGGTGTAGCCTGAGCGGGCATATGAAATCTTTTAGCATGAATTGGAATTCCTTTTACTATGGAAATCGTAAACTATTTCATTCAAATATTTCAATATATTTTGGTATAAGGGGTACCTAGTAGAGGGCATGATAGGCACAAGTTATCTAAAGTGACAGATAAAAAATGTGGCTCTTGAATATGTTTTTGTTCTTATATCACGAGTGCCTGCTCTGGAAATTTACGCTAGACAAAATCGCCTAGTGGAGACCAAGAGAGACATACCGTTCTATGTCCTGTTGATGCCTCTCTGAAATTTCTTTTCTCTGACTGAGGTAAGAACTACAGCTCATATGCTTTCCTTGGACAGGGGTTTGGATGAGAATCTATGTTTCGAAGAGCTCTGTGACATACAGAGAATATGGAAGGAATTGAGATGCCAACAAAACTCAGTTTCTCCTTGAATACATGTGGGAGTAGGTGGGTTTCTGCCAGAGAGGAGGCAGGGTCTATCTGCTACATATTTTTCTGGAGGAGAATAAGTGAAATTGTCTGAGTTTTAAAACATTCTTCTGCTCACAAAATAAAAACAAGGAAATGAGGATGTTGGCATCGAAATTATGAAGTAGATTATGTAGGAGAGGCATGGATGGCCAAAAAAAAAAAACCAAAAAAACAAAAAAACAAGCAGGTGTTTACCTAGAACAAGAATTAGAATGCAGGCTTTTAAGTTAAATGATAGCTATTTGTCCTCTGATTATGTAAAGTTAACTGGAATTTAAAGCCTGTGTATAAATGTTATAAAAATATTACTAATGTTCTTTTGGATAGGAAGCTTTGAAAAGGACCTATACGTATTTACTTGTATTGCATTAAATATGTGGAAAGATAGAATTTGTAGAAATGCTGCTAAACCAAAACTGCATATGTATATTTGACTCCAGAGGTCCAACAGGATCAGAAAAAGCTCTCTCTTCAAGAGAACTTGATATAAAGAAAAATTAAAAAGGAGATCTTGATAATATTTGTGAATCTCAATTCACCAAGCTGGGCAGAGTTCATGCAGGTTTGTGAGAGCAGAAACTGCGGTGCTAGTTTAGCAAGACAAGTCAGTTAGGACCTTATTTACTGACTGTAAAAAATTTTTTATTTTCTTATTTTTAGAATTTTTACTTTCCCCCCACCCCTCCACTCTCGTTTATTGACTTTTAAAGAATGATCGTGCTAGACCAGACAAACAGAATGAGCTTCCTGTAATTTAAATAGTAAGTTTCAAGCTTCAGCAAGCTCAGAAGTGCTCACACTTGTTGGAGGGCCCCTGGTATTCTAGGACTTTCTGGGCCAATATCTGTTCACCCATCTGACGCTTGGACAGTGCTTTGCTCCACAGCACTTAGAATGTCAGGGAAGGGTCTACATAACAGTGTGGAGAATGGACAAAGTGTTTTCTCTGGCCCTTCACTCTACCCAGGGTGGTACTTTGGAAAGAGAAGATAGTCTGTTAAAGTACAGGGCAGTAGGAGAATGGGAATCAGCGAGTTAATTTCTTACTCAGTTATACATACAGTCTGAGTCTTCTCAACGATCCACCTTGAGATTTTTAAACAAAAGCTTAAAGATGGTTCATATTTGGTGACTTGTTTTATTTATTACTTTTATTTCAAAATAATTTCAATCGTAGTGTAATCTGCTTAGTTTCTGAGATGTTGGTTATCGAACATATATGGTCTCTAATTCCAGAAGTCCATCTGAATAACATCAAAGACTCCATTATCTCTTTTCATACCACAGCTCAGTGACACTGTCTTATTAAACTTGCATTCTGTCACATTATTTTTCTGATCAGCAATAAGTTTGGGAAATTAAAGAAAATAAATGCTACAGAGAAAATATGAACTGATTTTCATGCTTAATGATAATGTTTGCTTATACAGCTCTACGATTTTAGGATACAACTTCCATCTAAAGTAGTCTGAAGTTAATCACCTGTTGATTTGGTATATGTGTGTCATTACACAAATAGTGTGTGATTATCACAGGGTGATGGTCTAATATGTAGGATTTCTGTATTATTTGTAATTAATTATTTAAATATTAAAATATTTTTCGTGAATTGAAAAGTAGTTTCTCTTTGGATGAATGTGTCATTAAAAAATTATTCCCAGGGAAAACTCCCCCTGAAATCTCTATCAGCATGGTAAGCATCAGCATTTTTCTTGCATTTTTCTTTGTAACAGAATCTCATCTAGAAATCACTGGCCACACTCCCTGCTGGGAGCGAGATTTGCTGGTAACTGGGTACTGGGCCTTAGGGCGAGGCTCAGGATTACTGTCAGGGTGTTGTATCAAAATCATGTGGTTGCTGGCTGAGGGAGTAGCATGAAGACTAATTGCTTGAGACAAGAAAAAGTGAAAAACTGTACTGGACCTAGGACTGATGGACACACATGCAGGACTGAGCTCTTTTGGTAGAGGAAGTATTTATTAGGGCTGTCCAAACCCATGCATACCATAGGGGTTGTCAAAGAGAAGTCCTGATAGAAAATGAAGATATCAGAAAGGGAGAGATAGTCCAACTGCAATATAAATCTTTATTTTATTGAGACAGAGTCTCACTTTGTTGCCCTCTG